TCCTTCCTTCCTTCCTTCCTTCCTTCCTTCCTTCCTTCCTTCCTTCCCTTCCTCCCTCCTTCCCTCCCTCTCTCTTTTTCTTTCTTTCTTCTTTCTTTCCTTTTTTGACGATGTCTCACTGTGTCGCCCAGGCTGGAGTGCAATGGCATGGTCTCAGCTCTCTGCAACATCTGCCTCCTAGGTTCCAGCAATTCTCCTGCCTCAGCCTCAACAGCAGCTGGGATTACAGGCACCTGCCACCACGGCCCAGCTAATGTTTGTATTTTTTAGTAGAGACAGGGTTTCCACCATATTGGCCTGGCCGGTCTCAAACTCCTGACCTCGTGATCTGCCCGCTGCAGCCACCCGAAGTGCTGGGATTACAGGGGTGAGCCACCGCACCCAGCCGAAGCGCTCCTGTTTAAGCCTCCCTGTCTCTGAGCTCTCTGGTCCCTCCCTGGTCAACATTTATTGAGTGTGTGCCCCATGCTAGGCCTGAGCCTTTGTCCACAGCCTCTCATGCAAGGTGCCTGTGGGGACAAAGCCACCAAGAGGCTGAGCTGTGCCTGTCGCCCGGCCTGGTCCCCTTGAAGCCTGTGGCCCATGCGATATTCCACTTCTTGTCAGAGCGCAGGCACATCCCTGCTGTCTCAGCCCCTGCTCGGGATTACAGAAGTGTCTGTGAGGACACAGGCATTGCTGGGGAAGCAGAGGCCAAAGGGGGTGAAACGGCACCCCAAGGCCACCCTCACTGGCTCACAGCAGGGCTGGGATGGCAATGGGGATGGGAGGCATGTGGCTCTGCTGGGCTTTTTGTGCCCATCTGTGAGTGCACTGGTTAATGAGGCGCTGTACCAGGAGACTCTCCAGGCAATCCTGAACCCCAGAGTGGAATGGGGATGTACCAGAAGGGGTCCATGCAAGTGGCCACAGCCTGGCTATGCTTAGGGCTTGGTCCAGGGAGGCTGGAGCAGCTCTGGACAGTGGTGGGTTGCAGCACAAGACTCCCTGAGTGGAGCTGTGGTCTCAGAAGGAGACATCATGAACTGCAGCCAAGAGAACCTGTTTCTCTTTGGGGAGGGCCTCACACGCAGGGAACTCAAAGGAGAACCATCTTTTAGAATCACTTGGGCTCTCAGGGCAGGAGACAGGGCAGTAAGAGGCCAGTGTTTCATCACCAGACAGCTCAGCCTCTGTTCCCATAGCCCTGGGCCGAGGAAGGCGAGATGTGGCCGGAAACTCAGATAATTTTGCCTCTGAGATGTTGCAACCTCAGAGAAGCCTTTTACCAAAAGCACCACTCTGGAAACAGAGGGGAAAAGGACCATGAAGCGAATTAGGCAGAGGACAAAAGCCTCCAGGAAATAATAATAATAAGGCTTAGAAGTGCCCATGAGCGGGAAACACTAGCTCACTGGAACTCTGAAGGAACACCATGGATTTCATCCGCCTGTGACCGCCATGTCCTGAAAGGGGCATTTTGACTTCCCCTAGCATTGTTGGTTTTCTCAGTGAGTGACAAACTTCATTTCACTCAAACGAATCGTTTAAAAATAGCCTGTCCCAAAGGGGTTTTTCCGAGGCTCCAGGATTCTGAAATAAGAAATGACCCAGGGCGAATTACCAAAGCCTGATATAAATAAATGTACTCGGCAGCCTGCTTGAACCAACTTTCTTTGACTCCTCTTGTGAAAGGATACTCTGTTCTTCCCTGAAACTCCATTTCCGCACATATGAGGGGTGGTGGTGTGCAACGGTTAAGAGATAGTCTAGGGGTTGGACCCCCTGAGTTTGAATCATGACCTGACGCTCACAGCCATGTCCTGTACCTTGAGGATGGGGCACTGCCTGGAGCACCCACTTGCAGCACAGGATCACGGGCAGGGGTAAAGGCCGTCAGGCAACATTGCTGCATGTAGTGAGCTCTGCACGTTAGCACTGTTCTTCCTGCTATATATCCCTGCAACTTCTCTTTACCAATTTAATCTCCAGAGTTAGAGGGTCCTCAGCAGTCAGCGCTGATCGCCAACGTCTTGTCTTTTCAAGCACAAAATTTTAATTCAACAAGCTGAGACTGTATCTAACTAGGTCAAAATTTACTATCATTTCATATTAGCTAGAAAAGCACCCACTTACATGGGGGACTTATACTCTGTGAAGTTATTCTCTAAATAGCTAGATAGCTATTTAGCCATTTCAGCAATTAATCACAATAAGTCATAGGCAATTCGATCTGAAACCTGAATTTGTGTGATAAGAAATTTCTCAGCAGGAAGACTGGATGCTTTTTATTCCTGTCGTGAGGTGAACCCTGCTGCCCCAAGAAGCCCAGCAATGCTTCAGGGGCAGGCATCTCATCCCACACCTTTGTCCCCTCTCAGTTCTGAGGACTGATGGCAGGGAAGACCCACCCTAGGAGTTTCCGACGATGGAGGAACCAGGGATGTATAAAGTGATTAGTCATCACTTTGTGGATGAATTGCTCTCACGATAGAATTTTGTATCCGGTCTCATTTGTAACATTTCAGGTTTTCTTCCTGGAGTTTGAGCATAAAGCTTCTGAAGTTTGATAAGCATTTTTCTCACGGAATTAATTGGTAAAGTGATAAACAGCTGTATGTTCATTGCCGTTGGCTGTAGGCAAATATTTAACCACAATGAACCTATTTTACAACTGCATGGGGCAGAGACGTCTACTATGAAGGGATCCTCTGAGATCTAGGCCTCAAAGTGTCCTCCTTGACAGCAATTAGTGAACTGAGCATCAGTTAGCCGCTCTGGCGCTGGAAGGCACCAGGCAGGAGACTTCAAGCTTGTCTCGGGAGGAAGCCATAGCAAGAGGCCCTTGGGGTATGGTCACCAGGCCTTATTCCTTATTCAGCTGGGTCAGATGGACTTTTATCTCTTATGTATTTCTATATTTCATCTAAGAATTGATTTTATAAAATTGCCACTGCTGCAAAAAGAAAGTCAAAAATAAAAATACTGCAATAGAGGTTTGTAGTTCTGATGTTCTTTTGTGTGTGTGTCTTGTAGGGTGGGGATCCCAGGTGAGGAGTCCCTTCTTTTGAAAGTTCAAAAACATGTGGCTTTCATCCCAAAGCAGCCTGACACTGCTACCTGTTTCTGAGCCAGGTGCAATGAGCAGTCTGCTGGGCCGTGTGTCTCTGATCAGTATTTCAACTTGCTGTGTTTTTTGATGCTCCTGGGTCTTCCCTTCCTAACCAGGCTGAAGGCCCTTTGAAGATATGGTCTTTGTCCCTTTGTGTCTCCTGTGCAGCGCCTTGCACATAGTAGGGACTCCCTGGATTAAAAGCAAAGCTCCTCAGATTGGACTGGGATGTCTAATGGCGGGGCTCTTGACTGTATTCACTATAAGTCAATGCAAAGCTAAAGGTTCGGGGCTCATGACACCTGCTACCCAAAAGGTCCCTGCAGACTTGAAATGTAGAAAAGGACTCCACATCATGTGATAGGCTGGGAATAAGGGCAAATGCATATAGGAGTCATATTTGGAAACTGACCCAAATATTGAACTACTGGGGCGTGATTGGGGAAAGCTGCTGCTGTTTTCTTTACAATAGACTTAGGGAGGGTTCATTGCAGAATAGTCTGCGAGAGTTAGTGCGGAACCCAAAGCCAAAATGAGCAAAACAGCCTTGCTGAATTCTCAAAATCCATGTGTCTCTGTCTGCCAGGTGGGGTCTGATGGCCACAATGACCTTGAGTGAGATGCAGACAGAGGAGGCCATGAGGAGATATTCTACATGGCAGGTGCTCTATACTGAGGCAAAGAAATGGGAACAGGGTCCCAAAAATAGTGGAGTAGAAAAAGTTTCAAAAGCACAGGGCACCTGACACCCATGGCCAAAAGATGCTGTAGGCAGCAGTTCTTACATTTGTTTTTGGCTATCTTTGGGAGGTCAGTAGGACCCCTAGACCAAATGCCTGTCTGCTGTGTCCCAAACCAGATCCCCAAGGGTCTGCCTCAGGTCTGGGGCTGATACCTGTTTGCTGCTAAGAAACGCAAGAAGGTGGTGTATAGGAAGAAATGTGTGTGTGCTTGTGGGTGTGCGTGTGTGTGTGTGTGTGTGTATGTGTGTGTGTGTGTATGTATGTGTGTGTGTACAGGGAGGGAAGGGAGAGTGGGCAGGAGAACAGAAGGCCAACGTCTGTTTCTTACTTCCAATGACTCTTCAGCCTCAGCCCTTCCCGCTTAAGAATGAAGAATGAGCTTCTGTGGCTCAAACAGTGTACTCACAAAGGAGTCAGAGACAAGGGACTGGTCCAGTCTGGCTCCCTCCATTGCCACCTGGTTGTGTAAATTCTGCCAAGTCACTGAACTTCCCTGAACTCTGCTTTATATACCTGTGGAAGAGGGAGACCAGCATCTCTCGAATGAAGAGAAGAAATAGATTTGAAAGTGCCTAGCAAAGTGTAACAGAAATTGCAGTCATGCGGTGACAATGGTCCTCTGGCTGGCTTGTTATATTTTAACACAGAACAAAGCTGCCAGCCCAGGGGTGGTTTCACGGTGGAGGCATTCCAGGAATTGGCCAGGAGTTGGTGGGGACATTATTCTCTCCCAGTGCCCCTGCAGTGACCTTGGGAGGCAGCTGCCCACTGCTTCCCCGGGGGAGAGTGGGTTGGCCTGCTGCCCTTGTCTTCCACTCTGAGCACTGCATTAGCAGCTGCTGGGCCACAGGTGGGTGCCTGCAGAGGATGGCAAAGGGAGCACAAGTGTTCCCAGGTGTGGGGGGGAACAAAGAAGCCCAGGAGAGCCACCTCAGGGCTGTAAGGAGCTGAGCAGAAGGGTAAGGAGTCATGGGCAGCCTCTCCCAGCAGGGCACGCTGCAGAGTCCCAGAGCTGGAGGAAGGCACCCCTCGCTTCCAGGAGGGAGTGTGTCAGTGATACACAAGGAAGCCCTGGGGAAATCGT